TGGGACTTGGGAGACCTCACATTTCAGACCATCCTTGTTTTCACAGAACCACTGGCAATCCGCAAGCGTCATCGCGAACCCTCTCTATAACTTGGGGAGAAGCCCTCTGGTTGAGCCAGAGCTGGGATGAACCAACTCGGTTTCGGAGCATTCAGCGCCATCACACAACATTTTTAGGGCCAATTGGCGATGGATTATGATTTTTCTTCATTTGAAACCTGAAAAACTGCTTTTGCATTGCTCATTGAGTCGAAGGCCTCACCGCACTGTTCCACAGCTTCACAGGAGATCCAGAGCGCACCAAAGTAAGAACGGGAAAGTCACCTGCCACCTGAGGTGGATTGACTGGAGGAATTATCAGAAGTGCAAGATGCCCCCTCTTGGCCGACAGGCGCCCAAATAAGGCCAAAAAGCCAACTACATTGCGTAAAATGGTAGGATTCGCCAGAGTCTCTCCAACCCTTATTTTTTTCCTGCCTTTTTCCTTTCATGTCCTTTACCCCTCGCATCTCCTTTGACATGTAAGGGGACCCACACCATGACCCAAAAATTTGGAAAACCCTTCAAAATGCCACAAATGGCCCGGTAGTTCATCGACCTCAATCGTTCACCTCAATCGACTCGGCTCTCCTGTTGCCGTGTGGTGCTCAATCGAATCGCGTGCGTAGAGTACCTATTGAAGGGTCACCTTACCCGGGCAATGTTTCCTGCGTTGGCCTTCTTTTGTTACCAAGAGACCGGAAACCCACTTGATACCAGAGAGCCCTCGTCTTTCACCCCACCACTACTCTCTTCAGACACAATCACTATAGACAACAAGGATAAAAGGGCTGCTGAAAGGATAGTCACCCACTTGTTGTGAGGACCATATGATGGGGCCGATTTTGTCGGGTGAAATTTTTCGAAAAACTTCTCATTTCTTAGAATTTGGATTCCTCAGATGTCCGTGGTGGTAACATATCGGCAGAAAGCTGTGGGATAATTTACCATTGGCCAAATAGAGGTATCAGGCTGGAGTCCTCCCCAAATGGGCAATGCTCACAGAGAGCTTTTCTGATTTTTCTGAGGTCATGACTCGGCCGATCAT